CTGTCCGCGGCATTTTCTTTTCTCTATGCACAGGCACGCACACACAGACACGGAGAGGTCAAAGAACAACTTTGCAGTTGGTTCTTCTTCCACCTTTATGTGGTTTCCTGGGATCAAACGTAGGTTGCAAGGCTTGCATAATTGCTTAGCAAGGACCTTTACCCACTGAGTCTTCTTATCTCTATTGTTTTTGCGACAGGGTCTAATATAGCTCAGACTGGCCTTGAACTTGATATCTTTATTCTGAAATATACCTCCTGCCATTACAGGCATGTGACATTACACTATTACACTGGTTTTATGCAATACTATTGTTAATCTAACTCAGGGCTTTGTTCTTGGTAGGTAACGTACTCTACCAATTCAGGCACATCTCTAACTTCTTTTTTGTTTATTTCTTTTTTTTTTTAATTGAAGGTGGAGTTGTCATTTACCCCGGGTGGCCTTGCATTTTTGCTTATTTATTTATTTTGGTTGTGTTTTTCAAGGCAAATTTCTCTGTGCAGCCCTGGCTATCCTGGAATGTGCTTTGTAGACTAGGCTGGCCTCTAACTTAGAGATCTGCCTACCTCTGCCTCCTGAATGCTGGAATGTAAGGTGTGTGTCACCACTACCTGATTAGCTTTTTTTTTTCTTCTGGTTTTTCGAGATAGGGTTTCTCTGTGTAACAGCCCTGGTTGTCCTGCAACTCCCTTTATAGACCAGGCTGAACTTGAACTCAGAGATCCACCTGTCTCTGCTTCTGGAGTGCTAGGATTAAAGGTGTGTGCCACCACTGCCCAGCTGCCCTGCATTTTTTATATGTACCTAGGGCTAGCCTTGAACTTCTGGTTTTCTTGCCTCTATCATTTATTTGCTGGGCAACACCACAGTTAGTGCTTCTAAGGCCAGATGAGGGTGTCCAATTTCCTGGAGTTAGGGTTTCAGGAAGTTGTGAGCTTCTGGACATAGTTGCTAGGAACCAAACTCTGGTCCTTTGCAGGAACAGTATGCCCTCCTTACTACAGAACCACATTTTCAGCCTCTTGTTTGGCTTTGAAACTTACCTGTAATTTGCCAACACAAAGACATAGCTCTTGCCTAGAAAGGGATAAGAGATTTTTTGTTCTTGAGTCAAATATGCAAGTGCCCATGGCACAAGAATATAGAATCAGGTTGCTCCTTGTCTTAGTTAGGGTTTTATTGCTCTGAAGAGATCCATGAACACAGCAACTTTTATAAAGGAAAACATTTTATTGGGGCTGTGTGAGAGCCAAAGTTACATTTTAAGTTTTAATTAGTATGCCTCAGAGATCCATGAAACAACAACAACAAAAAAATTGCCTCTGACCTGCAAGTCCCTTGCCCAAGGACAGACAGTTCCTGAAATGGTGGAAGCTATTGCTTATGGGAGATAACGAGCCACCTGTTTTCACTCCCTTGGTTTGACCATTCTGCACCAAATGTGCTGGATCACATGTGGGCAGGAGGTTCAGAGGTAGAAATATGCCAAGATGTATGCTTGCCCCTGGTTGCATGTAGGCTGGAGGAGGTAAGTCAGGATGTATGCTTGTTCCTGATTGGACCTGATGGGAAATACTTAAGCTGCTGCAAAACTTGATTGGGGCCATCTGCTGGAAAACCAAAGATGAACCTGGCCAGAACCCATACATCTGACGAGTATTTCATTGAAATTTGCTTCAAATTGTTGGGCCCAAAGTATCTCTGGGCCTGTACCTCAAGGCCTGTCGGACAGAGAAAAGCCTGCTCGAGTTTGAGGGAACTGAATGAGGATGAGACAGCAAAATCTAGGTAGATGCCCCTCAGCTAGAGTGAGGGCTTGACTATGTCTCATTGACTGGAGGGACCCCCACATCACAGAATGTCACTTAAGCTGTATAAGCTGACACTCACAGTAATAAACTTAGTTTCTGCTTTGACCTGACTCTATCACGTCTGATTGCCCTGTGTCATGGGGCCGTGGAATGTCACCTTTTGATGTAGGTGTGTCATCTGTCTATGTGTTACTTTCATTGGTTAATAAAGAAACTGCCTTGGCTTTTGATAGGACAGCAGCTTAGATAGGTGGAGGAGACAGAACAGTATGCTGGGAGAAAGAAGTAGGGTCAGAGAGAGCAGATGCCATGAAGCTCTGGCCCAAAATGGACATAGGTTAGAATCTTCCCGGTAAGCCACCACCTCGTGGTGCTACACACATTACTAGAAATGGGTCAATCAAGATGTGAGAGTCAGCCAGTAAGAGGCCAGAGCTAACAGGCCAGGCAGTGTTTAAATGAATACAGTTTCCATGTAATTATTTCCGGTGAAGCTACCCGGGAGCCGGGTGGCAGGGACGCAGCCCGCCGCTCCTTTTGCAACAACCTTTCCCTGGGGAATAAGGAGGCTAAGGAGGCCTGGCACAAATTTAGCTTTAAATTGTGGTAGTTGTCTTATTCTCGACCAGTGGAATTAACAACTGGCTCACAGTTCAGAGGTTTAGTCCATTATCATCATGGTGGGGAGCATGGCGGCATGAAGGGTGGCATGCAGGCTGACATTTTGCCAAAGGTAGCTGAGACTTCTGGATTGGCAGGCAACAGGAAGAGTAAGTAAGATACTGCCCTGGCTTGAGCAACTGAGACCTCAAAACCTGACCTAGTGACAGACTTTCTTCAACACCTCACCTACTCCAACAAGGTCACATCTCCTAATGGTACCACTTCCCATGAGCCTATGGACAGGGTTTCTCTGCATAACTGCAGCTGTACTGGAACTCACTCTGCAGACCAAGCTGGCCTTGAATACACAGATGTAGTTGGAATTGTCTTTGGGCCGCCAATCAGCTCCCAAATAAAGACATGGAGACTTATTATTAATTATGAATGCTTGGACTTAGCTTAGACGTGTCCCACTAGCTCTTTTAACTTAATTTTACCTGTTTCTATTCATCTACATTTTGTCTCAGAGCTTTTTTTTTTAAAAAAAAAAACAAAAAACATCTTTCTTTCATTCTCTGTGTCTGTCTATCTGGCCCCAGCATCTCCCTGGCTTTTTTTTCCCCTCTTCTTTCAAGACTAAAATCTCCTACTTACTGTCCCTGCCTGAAAGTCCTGCCTATACTCCCTCCCTCACTATTAGCTTTTCAGCTTTTTATTGGACCAATTAGGTGCCTTAGGCAGGCAAGGTAAAACAGCAACACATCTTTACATAATTAAACAGATGCAACACGTCCTTACATAGTTAAATAAATGCAGCACATCTTTGCATTTGAGATCTGCCTGCCTCTGCCCCGAGTGCTGAGATTAAAGGCATGTGACACCATGCCTGGCACATGAAATTTTTATAGTTACAGAAAAAAATACAAAGTCATAAATTGAGGCATATATGGTTCACTATGTAGCCTTGGTTGTCCTGTGACCCTGGCTTTCCTGGAACTCCCTATGTAAGCCAGGCTGGTTTCTAAGTCACCTATACTTCAAACTCAGATGTAGGCAATAAATAGGCAGGCCTAAGAGGACTAAAGATAGTTCATAATAATTTGGCTCTAGATCAGCAACATTCTAACACTCCATATTCCTTCCTTCCTTCCTTCCTTCCTTCCTTCCTTCCTTCCTTCCTTCCTTCTCTTTCTTTCTAGACAAGGGTTCATATAGTCCAGGCTGGCTTTGAACTATGTAGTTGAAGATGAACTTGAACTTTTGATCCTCCTGCCCCTGCCTCCCAATTGTTGTAATAACATGAGAACACCACTATGTCTGGTTTTATGCTGTGCAGGGGTAGAACCCAGGGCACACTAGGCAAGCACACTATCAGCCAAGTCACATCCTCAGTCCCTCCCCTTTTTCCTTTCATACAGTCATAACCAGTAAATTGACCTTGTAGAATCTTTAGCATAGGTGTGGGCTTTTCTGGAAACTTGAATTCACATCATCTATCACCTCCTCCTAGTGTAAAATCAGACTGGGACATTATGACTGATGGACCAGAGCAAAGAATAGTTAATCAGCCATGCCTTTGGAGAAAAAAAAAGTTCATTGAGAGACAAGAGAGGAAACAACAGTATCAGAATAGAGCCGTTTGTGTCATCCCTCTCAAAAGCAAGTGAGCAGAGCCAAGGGAAATCATTAACAAGGGAGTTGGAGATGGAGAAATGGCTCAGAGGTTAAGAGCATTTGCTGTTCCTGCACAGGATTCAGATTTAATCTCCAGTACCCACATGAAAGCTCACAAACATTTGTAACTCCAGTTCCATGGGAATTGGAATATATAATAATGCAAATATTGTACTATTCCGAGTCTGTGTGAAGTGGAAACGCCAACCACATGAACATTCAGAGAAAGAACTCTTTAATACATATATGGGCTAGTTCCTCAAAAAGGTCTAGTCTCATGCTGGAAAATTTTACAGTTTATATAGAGTAAGCAGCATTGTCACAAATTTGTCTACCATCCTAAGTGGGCTTTTCATTCTTGTCTCAAAAGAAATCCTTAGCTTAAACTTTATGGATCCAACCTCTTCCTCCCGAGATTATTGGCATGAATTGCCCCGCCCAGTTTATTATATTTTGTTTCCACTATAGTTTCATTAGAAAATAGAATTTTCGGGGTGGTAGTGGTACATGCCTTTAATCCTAACATTTAATCCAAGTACTCGGGAGGCAGAGGCAGGAGGATGTCTGTTAGTTCGAGGCCAGTCTGGTCTACAGAATGACTTCCAGGATAGCCAGGACTGATTCATAGAGAAACCCTGTGTCGAAAAACCAAAAAAAGAAAGGAAGGAAGGAAGGAAGGAAGAAAGAAAGACAATAGAATTTGATGTTTTAGGGATCAGGATTGGAGTTTTGATTTAGCCTCTAGGACAATTTGTGACCGCTCCACCCAGCGACTCTGGTTTTTCCAAACTACATTTCCCGGCAAGCCCTCCAACAACGTTTGACGAACTTCCTCCCAGCATTCCCCGCGGCGGGAAAGCGCCGAGCGGGCTTCAGGCCGACAGGACCATCTTTCGCTGCCGCTGTTGCCGCTGCTACCGTTGAGTTGTGAGGAGCTTCGCGGCCGTCCCCACTGGCCACCATGTCCGCCCAAGCGCAGATGCGGGCCCTGCTGGACCAGCTCATGGGCACGGCTCGGGACGGTGAGTCTGAGCGGCCGTCCAGGCTCTGGGCGGGGGCGGGAGTAAGGCGAGGCGGCCTGGCAGCCTGAGGCGAGGGCCGTGACAATGTGCGCCTGCGCGGGGCGCCATTCCTATTTCCCCCCGCTCGCCGACCCTAGGCGCTGGGCCTTTGTCTGATCCGCTTGACTTGCGAGGCTGTTGCGGCCGCCGCGTCCTTCTCGTCCGGGCGGCCTCCTTTCTGAGAGTCCGATCCGACGGTGGGGCTCTGTCCCCCTCCCATTTTCCGTCATGCGAATTCCTCTTGGTCGGCACCGCGGTTCGGCGCCTCCCGGCGTGCTGGAGCGTCGGCGGAGGGCTGGAACCAGCGCGGCTCCCGGGCGCTGGCTGCCGTGTGGCAGAATTCCTCTGATACTCCTCGGAGGAAAGGCGACCCCCGAGGAGCTGGACGGGTTTCGAAAACCCCGGGCGTTCCTGCTCCGTACGGTCACAAGGGGAGCCGTAAATGAGCATTTCTAACGTGGGTTCCTCCGTGCACTTTCCTAGCCTTCCCACCCCTCACTCCCCAGCCTTCCAGACTAGCCTTGGTTTAGTCAGCTCTTGGCATTCTTTAGGTAGGTGTATAGGGAGGCGTGCAAGATCATGGTGGTGTCTCAGGAGAAAGCAGTTGCATCCCAGCAAAGCTAGATCCCTGCTGTGGTTGGTGTTTTCATTTTTACTAAAGTAATGAAGTTGTAATTTCACACTGGCACAATTCGCAGGGCCGTGCAGAGTCTTTGCACCTTATTTCATAGGTCAATAAGTGCTTTTAGCTTTCTTTGTATGTTGAGTTGCTTTTGAATTGCTTCCCATATTTTTATTTCATACAAACTGAACAATTGTGGCCCCTCTATTTTATTTATAAAGGTTCAGTGTATCTTTGCCTGCCTACATCAATCTGCAAGGGAGTTGCAGAAAAGCCTCATGTTCATCGAGCCGTGAGTCACAACCAATTTCTAAGCTGTTATAACAAAAAAGTGTTTGCTTTTTTTCCACAAGTAACTTTAAAAGTGTAGTTTAGAAAGAAAACATTTTCAGTAAAAAGACACTACATTAATCCTGGATGCTTGCAAATCCTGAAATATATTCCTCCTTGACTATTACACAGCACTGTGTCCTCTACACAGATTAGCCTTAAAATTTGTCACATACCACTTTGCCTTTACTTTTATGTATCATTCCCCCTGACTTCCTTACTGCAGGTGTGGGCAAGAAAACTTTTCCTTTAAAACTTTTCAACAGCGGGCATAAAATTCTGCAGCTGAGTTCTTGAAGAATGCAGATGGGTACAGTATATGTTGGAGTTCACAGTGTGTATTGACTAACCTGATTCCTTTTTGCTTTCTTTGGTATTGTCTTGTTAAAAGTGACTCCCAGGTGCCAACTTCCCTTTGTAAGGGTGGGGATGAAAGGGGCATGACAAGAAAAGATTTAGAGATATTTAAGAGTCAGTGATAGAGCTTGAAAACTTTCTCCTTCCTCTTGGCAGTTTTCGATAATAAAACACTGCCTATTTGACTGCAACAAAAAGATTAATAGTTTTGGTTGGTGGGGATTGCCAGCTCTAAGTCATATGTGGTAGATTACCTGCTTCTTAGTTCTCATGCCCACACTGATTTGGGCTGATTCCTTTTGGTACTTACTCTTACTTCTGACTCCTTGACTTAATGATGGAGTTAGAGGTGATTAAGTGTGCGTCTTCATAAAATACTTAGCTTGAAAAAAAATCTGTATTCCATTCCAATTGTCAATATCTTTAGATCAGTTTCTTAGTGTGTGTGATGGGGAGAATACAAAAATGCTAGTCTGCAAATCATCCGAGTGTATTGTTTTGCCAGATAGCCTTGTGTAGTTAATGAGATACTACTTTATTTAAAACCACAAATGAATTTCAGGAGATGAAACCAGACAGAGGGTCAAGTTTACAGATGACCGTGTCTGCAAGAGTCACCTTTTGGATTGCTGCCCCCATGACATCCTTGCTGGGACGGTAGGTGCATTCCAGAACCTTATGGATTACTCGGGGTGGGGTGGGACAGTAGATGTAATATTTTTCTTTAATCCAAGAGTAATGGTTTATTTTTTAAAATTACATAATAGGGGCTAGCAAGGTGGCTCAGTAGTTAAGAGCATTTGTTGCTTTTGTGGAAGACCAGTGTTTGATTCCCAGTACTCACATGGTGGCCTACCAACATCTGTAACTCCATTTCCAGGATCTGACAGCCACTTCTATACATGGGGCAACTATATTCATGTGCACATAACCCCGACACAGGCACATACATAATTTTAAAATAATCAAAATAAACCTTAAAAATTAACGTTTAAAAACATAGCTTTTAGGATTAGAATTGCTGAAACACCCACTTTATTCTGTGTATAAAGAGTTACAAGAGCCTGGAGAGATGACTCAGGGGCTAAGAGCACTGACTGCTCTTCTAGAGGTCCTGAGTTCAATTCCCAGCAACCACATGGGGGCTCAAGCTATCTATAGTGAGATCTGGTGCCCTCTTCTGGCATGCAAACATACATGGAAGGAATATTGTATACATAATAAATAAATAAATCTTAAAAAAAAAGTTACAGGGCTGGAGAGATAGCTCAGTGGTTAAAAGCACTAACTGATTGTCCTTCTAGAGGACCCAGGTTCAATTCCTATGACCCATACAGTAGCTCACAACTGTCAGTTCCGGGATCTCTTTGGGCACCAGACATGTACATGGTATGCAGACATGAATGCAGCCAAAATATCATACACATAAAAATAAAATAAATAAAAATGTAAATAAATCACAGGAGAATTGGTGTCCATTTTTTATCTTCAAAAAATTCTTTGAGTATTTCACCCACACATACATATATTTTAGTCACATTTATCCCTCTACTCCAGTCTTAGTAGATGTGATTTTTGAGGGTCTCATGGGATACTTGGAGAGGGAGCTGTGGGGGAAGTGAATGTTTTTCAAGTAGAATTTTATTTTTCTTTAATATGCAAAGTCTGTTACTCTTCACATTATAGATTGTTGGTAAAGTTTTTGAGTTATGAAACATTTCACTAGTATGAAATCTATATAACAAGTCTTTTTGAAAATTTGGTTGATTTTTCTTAATTTCAAGTTATTCTAGCATGATATTTTCATTCATACATACATGTATACACTTAATTTTGTGTGTAGACCTGAATACATGTCTATAGAGGGAATTAAAATTCATTGGCTCCCCTGGAATTGAAATTAAAGGTGGTTATGAATCTTGCTTATATAGGTGCCAGGAACTGAATCTAAGTTTCAGAAAGAGCAGTAAATACTCTTAATTGCAGAAACATGTTTTCCTCTTTTTTTTTTTTTAACTTAAATTTATGTATGAGTGCTCTTATTTGCATGCATGCCTTTATGCCAGAAGAGAGCACCAGACCTCATTACAGATGGTTGTGAGCCACCCTGTGGTTGCTGGGAATTGAACTCAGGACCTTTGGAAGAGCAGGCAATGTTCTTAACGGCTGAGCCACCTCTCCAGCTCCCTGGAACTTGCTTTATAGACCAGGCTGGCTTTGAATCTACTGAGGTCCACCTGCCAAGTGCTGGGATAAAAGGCATTCGCCACCACTGCCCAGCTTTTTAAAAGATTTTATTTTACTTACTATGTATGCAGTGTTCTGCCTGTATGCCAGAAAAGGCACCAGATCACATAGATGGTTTTGAGCCAACATGTGGTTTCTGGGAATTGAACTCAGGACCTTTAGAAGAGCAGCTGGTTCTCTTAACTTCTGAGCCATCTCTCCAGCTCCTACAGGAATGATTGTTTCCACCCTGTGGATCTGGGGATTGAACTCAGACTGTCAAGTGGCTTTTCCTGCTGAGACATCTTTTCAGTCCCTAAAATAAAATAAAATTCAATGAGATCACATTGATTGCATATTTTTGTAACTCTTTGAAGAAATCTATACTGCCCAATTACTATAGTGTCTGAGCAGTACAGATAAATGCTAGTTTTGTAGAATGTGCTTTCATTTGGAATTAAGTTAAATTTAAGACTATAAACTGAAGAAAATCATCTGCTATATTTCAGCTACTTAAAGTGAAAGTGTTTTACAAAGGACCAGTTTAAGGCTTCATAGCTATTATGAAGAATGTAAAAATCAACCACTGATTGTATGAATATTTGTGCGCCAAAGAAAACATTCCACAGTGAATCATGGATTTAAAAAATTTGTGTAGTTGTATTTATGCATATGTGTGTTCATGCACTCAATCAGATGCTGGAGGCTATTGGGTGTTACCCTCTTATCGCTGGTCTTCTAGTCCCTTCAGACAGTCTTTTTCTTTTTTCTTTTTTTGTTTTGTTTTGTTCTGTTTTGTTTTGTTTTGTTTTTTTGAGACAAGGTTTCTCTGTGTAGCCCTGGCTGTCCTGGGACATGTTCTGTATACCAGGCTATTCTCCAACTCACAGATCTGCCTGCTTCTGCTGCCTCCTGTGTTCTGGGATTATAGTGTGCCTCATCACCATCTGGTGAGACAGAGTTTTACTTAGTCTAAAGCTCATTGTACCAGAGTTTATGGAGTTTTGACTGGGTCAGCAATCAGTAAAACAGTGCTGTGGTTACAGATATGTGTTATCATGCCTGGATAATTAAATGGGTGCTGGTTTCTGAACATTCATGTTTAAACAGCAAGCATTCTTACCAACGGAGCCATCTCTCCTGCCAACCCTACCCACTTTTTGTATATGAGTCAGGGTCATATGCTCACCTCACAATCACAATGCAGTAGAATCTGGGCCTGAACTCCGGATCTTCTTACCTCTCCATGTGACTTTGTTAACTTGCGTTTTGATTTAATGCCATAAGTTTTAGGATAAAAATTTCCTGTTGCTGTTTAGACAACCAGAGCAGGAGATATCTGCACAGTCCTGTATTCAGGATTAACATAAACATTACAAACTGTAGTATTATTGTTTTACATGTGATTAGAAAACATAATAATACATTGTGACTAATCTTGTTGACAGCACACCACTTTTAGTGATAAAGCCTCAAAAACCGAAAAAAAAAACCAAAAAAAGAAAATATTGGCCTACAAAAGAGTTCCACAATAGCCCAGAATGGGATATAACAAAGGTTTATTTATTTGGGGATAAGCTCACAGTAAGGGTACTGATCTGCAGTCCTCTGCCTACACTGGGAACTGGATCCGAATCCCCCCAGCCGAGAGCCCTGCTGTTGGCTGAAGGAGTTCCCACAGCACCACCCACTTTTGTCTAAATAAGGGTTCTAAGTCTAATACAAAAGTATATACAATAAGAGCAAATATCAAGTAACGTCCAGGGAAAAGAAGAGACAAAAGCATACGTAAAAATTAGAATTACAACCAGCATGTGCAGCATCAAACAGGGAAACCCATGTTAAATGTTTCAATAGTTATCCTGTCTTAGAGTCTAAGTCTTATATTAAAAATGACTAAGTCCTGAGAGGAAAGTGACTATGACTATCTAGCCTTCAATCTCATCGAAGACCTGAGAAGGGAAATAATATTACTTGAGTAAACAGGAAGTACAATCAAGCAACTCGCAAAAAGGTGCAGGAAATGACAGAGGCAACCAGCTATCTGGGCAATCACCCAAAGTCTCATTTGTAATGTGGGGCATCCAACTTTGGCTAAGGCCTTGAGTATCTGACAGACTTTTTGCAGAGGCAGGAAAAATTGAAAAACTATCTTACCCTTTCTTGGCAAGGTCTGGCAGTCTTTTTGCTTGTATCCTGCTTGTCTAGTCTGGACATTGTGCATTTTGTCAGTGATCGAGGCAGGGGCAGTTCTTTGCCCAATGGCAAGTTTCGCCAAGAAGAAAACAAGCTCCAAGTGGAGTGTCTCTGGTGTTGCCACAGCAAGAACAAAGAAGGAAAGAAAAATACAGGGACTGGAGAGATGGCTTAGTAGTTAAGAGCATTTGCTGCTTTTATAGAGGATTCCAGTTAAGTTTCTAGCACCCACATAATGGTTTATAATTGTGTAATTGCAGTTCCAGGTGATCTGATTTGCCTTCTGACCTCTGAAGGCACCAGGCAGAACACTCACAAATATATTTTTTTTGAAATGGGTTTTCTATGTGTGACCTTGGCTGTACTGGAATTCACTCTGTAGACCAGGCTGGCCTTAAACTCAGATTCCCCTGCCTCTGCCACCTGAGTGTTTGGATTAAAGGCATGAGCAACCACTGCTCAGCTAAATAAATTTTAAAAATGCATTTCTAGGATATATCTTGTTTCTTTTTTGTTTATGTGATATAATCTCATGTTGCCCATGCTGACCTTGTACATAGTAAGCATAATCTTACTATGTAGATTATGAAATTGCAAGTAAGAAAGAGACCTGTTTTTTGAATTAGATGTAAGATCTTTTTTGGATGTTTATTTATCCATGCTGCAAAGTATCAATTACTATTGAAAGTAGTATAATGTCTGTAAGTTGTAAAGCAAAATAATTAAATAAGCACTTGTTAAGAATCTTAAGTTCTAGAACTCGGCAGATGCCATCTTATATGTATGTGACTCCCACGTTTTTGTATTGAATTTCATTTCATTGTTTGCTTTTTTATGTGTCTATTATAGCACGTACTGATAGCACGTGCTATGTAAGGTGAAGGTGACCTTGCATTCCTGACCCTCCTGCCTTTTCTTGCCAGCGGCACCGATTACAGAAATGTGTCAGTCAGTGTGCCTGGCTTCATTTCTTTTGTTGGAGACTAAGGTACATAAGTCCAGATTGGTCTTTAGCTTACTATCCTATTGCCCCTCAACCTCTTAACTGTTAAGATTATCATGCCATTATGCTTGAACCGTTGAGATTATCATGCCATTATGCTTGATCCATTTCTTAATTTATTATCTGTAAAACTATTGTTTATTTCAGTGAAAGTTGAAATACTAAATCATATTAATTTCATGCTTTCTATAATGAATAGGTGTTAATGTTTTATTTTTTTCCCCACAGCGCATGGATTTAGGAGAATGTACCAAAATCCACGACTTGGCCCTCCGAGCAGATTATGAAATTGCAAGTAAAGAAAGAGACCTGTTTTTTGAATTAGATGTAAGATTTTTTTTTGGATGTTTATTTATCCATGCTGCAAAGTATCAATTACTATTAAAAGTAGTGTAATGTCTGTAAGTTATAAAGCAAGATAATTAAATAAACACTTGTTAAGAATCTTAAGTTCTAGAACTCGGCAGATGCTATCTTGTATGTGTGTGACTCCCAAATTTTTGTATTAAATTTCATTTCATTGTTTGCTTTTTTTATGTGTCTATTATAGCACGTACTGCTATGTAGCCAAGGAAGATCTTGAACTCCTAAGCCTCTTCTTTCTGAGTGCTGATATTACAGGGCCATATGCCATCATGATAGATTTATGTAGTGTTGGCAGTTGAACTCAAGATGTCGTTATTTTTCTGCTGTGTAGTACTCCATCGTGTAAATGTACCACATTTTCATTATCCATTCCTTGGTCGAGGGGCATTTAGGTTGTTTCCAGGTTCTGGCTATGACAAAGCTGCTATGAACATAGTTTAACACATGTCCTTGTGACACGATTGAGCATCCTTTGGATATATACCCAAAAGTAGTATTACTGGGTCTTGAGGAAAGTTGTTTCCTAATTTTCTGAGAAATCGCCACACTGACATCCAAAGGGGTTGTACCAGCTTGCATTCCCACCAGCAATGCAGAAGTGTTCCCTTTTCCCCACAACCTCTCCAGCATAAGTTGTCATCAGTGTTTCTGATCTTGGCCATTCTTACAGGTGTAAGATGGAATCTCAGAGTTGTTTTGATTTGCATTTCTCTGATAACTGAGGAAGCTGAACATTTAAGTGTCTTTCAGCCATTTTAGATTCCTCTGTTGAGAGTTCTCTGTTTATGTCTGTACTCCATTTTTTTTTATTGGGTTATTTGTTCGTTTGATGAGCAATTTCTTGAGTGCTTTATATATTTTGGAGATCAGACCACTGTCTGATGTGGGGTTAGTGAAGATCTTTTCCCGTCTGTAGGCTGTTGTTTTGTCTTATTGACCATGTCCTTTGCTTTACAGAAGCTTTTCAGTTTCAGGAGGTCCCATTTATTGTTTTTCTCAGTGTCTGTGCTGCTGGGGTTATATTTAGGAAGTGGTTCCCTTTGCCAATGCATTGAAGTGTACTTCACACTTTTCTGTAAGGTTCAGTGTGACTGGCTTTATGTTGAGGTCTTTGATCCATTTGGACTTGAATTTTGTGCATGGTGATAGATATGGGTCTATTTTCATTCTTCTACATGTTGATAATCTAGTTATGCCGGCACCATTTGTTGAATATGCTTTCTTTTTTCCATTGGATGTTTTTTGCTTCCTTGTCAGAAATCTGGTATTTGAAGATGTGTGGATTGATATCCGGCTCTTCTGTTCGGTTCCATTGGTCCTCCTGTCTGTTATTATGCCAGTACCAGGCTGTTTTCAGTACTGTAGTTCTGTAGTAGTTTGAAGTCAGGGATTATGATGCCTTCAGAAGTTTTTTATTGTACGGGATTGTTTTGGCTGTCTTGGGTTTTTTGCTTTTCCATATGAAGTTGAGTACCATTCTTTCGAGGTCTTTGAAGAATTTTGCTGGGATTTTGATGGGCATTGTGTTGAATCTGTAGATTGCTTTTGGTAAGATTGCCATTTTTACTATGTTAATTCTGCCTACCCAAGAGCATGGGAGATCTTTCCACTTTCTGGTGTCTTCTTCAATTTCTTTCTTCAAAGATTTAAAGTTCTTGTCATACAAGTCTTCCACTTGTTTGGTTAGAGTTACTGTGAGATTTTATGCTGTTTGTGACTATTGTGATGGGTATTGATTCTCTGATTTCTTGCCTCAGTGGTTCTTGCATGTACCATCAAAACAGGCTCCTTGAGTAGATATTTTATATGACTTTGGGCACTTATCATATCTTTTATAAATTTAAAATGTTGTTATCCTTTGGGCCACTTCTAAAGAATTGCATGCTTAGAAGTAGAGTATTTGCATAGCTTGTGGAAGGTCCTGGGTTTGATTGATCTTCAGCACCTTCAAAAGAAAAGAGATAGGGAAGGGAGAGTAAGGTGGAAGAAAGGGAGTTGCTCAAAAGAAATACTTGTGTGTATGTGTGAGAAGTATGAGACTGTATGAGCTATTTAGATCATTTGCAGTTGTGAAGAAGTAGCAGAAGTAAAACATCTATTTAAAGGAGGGATTAAGGACATTTGTGTTAAGAATGGTTTATTGGGACTGGAGAGATGTCTCAGAGGTTAGAGCACATACTTTTCTTGCAAAAGACTGGAGCTTGGTTTCTATCACTTAATGTCGGCTGGCTCACAACTACCTGTAACTCCAGCTCCAGTAGGTCCATTGTCCTCTTATGGACTCCATGGATACCTGCACTCATGTTCATATCCACATACAGACATGAATATATATGCATAATTAAAAAGTAAAAGTATTTGTTTACTACTGTGTAGCAGAAGAGCATAGAATTTGAATATGATACGAGATACGAGTTGGTGGTGAGCTCAATGGAGTCCTGTTCTCACATGTGGGGCCTCCAGCTCCACTGTTCCCTTCCTAAATTGCTTACAGCATGAGCAATATAGGCACAAAGTACTTTTTTAAAAAAAATTGTGTATGTGTCTGTATGTGGGTATGTCTCTATGAGTTCAGGTACCTGTGGATGCCAGAGACATCTGATCCCTTTTAAGTTGAAATTATCTGCAGTTGTGAGTCACCTGACAAACTTGGATTTTTTTAAATATTTATTTTATGTATGTGAGTGCTCTACGCCATTATGCATTCAGAAGAGGGCATCAGATCCCACTATAAATTGTTGTGAGCCACCATGTGGTTGCTGGGAATTGAACTCAGGACCTCTGGAAGAACAGCCAGTGCTCTTAACCTCTGAGCCACCACTCCAGTCCCCCAAACTTGGATCTTATTCAAGAGCAGCTTTGGTTTTAACCATTGAGCCATCTCTCCAGTGCTACAAAGCACTTTTGGTTCTCTTTCGTGGTCATGTACTTGTAAATTCAGGAATGCATAGCTTGTCTATAAATATACATCCCTGCCTTGTCCTCTGGAGACAGCCAAAGAATCAGGTTAATATTACTGCTGCAGACATACCTGGGTGATCTCCTTTTAGTCATATTTCAGAGCAGTTCCCAGAAGGGGAAATGTCCTTGTGAGAAATTCTAGCAAAAGAGCGGGTGGAGGGGGACATGGATGTTGTATTAATGGAAAATTGCTAGAATGATGTCACAGGTTTATTCAAACATTGCATGTAAGTTGTTCTTACTATAAATTTTTTTTTTGGTTGTTGTTATTTGATACAAGGTCTTGCAATGTGGCCATGGCTGTCCTAGATCTCACTAGGTAGACCAGGCTGGCCTTGAACTCACTATGTGAGTATCCCCTGAGCACTGGTATGGCAGGGGATACATGACCAACTTGCCTTCAAAAGGTTTAAAGTTTCTTTTTTGGGAGTGGGGAGGTTGAGGGGGGTTCATGTAGCCAAGGCTAATTTCAAACTTTCTTTGTACCTATGGATTGATTCTCTCTCCGAAGTGCTAATATTAGAGACATTCACCCAAAGTTAAATAGATACTTTTCTATAAGAATACTAAAGATGAGACCATCTATAATCCCAGCACTCAAGAGTTTAAGGCAAGAGGTTTGTGGTTTTAGGCTGGCTTAGCAAAGTTGAGAGCCAGCCAGGATACATAGTGTAACCCTATTTTCTGTTCTACCCCAAAACAAAACAACCTAAAATAAAATGTAAAGCAAGTTACTTGAATTTACTGGTACTTTTGTTTATTCTTTAATTTTTTTAATGTTTATTTTATTTTATTTTTTTTTAAAGATTTATTTATTTATTATGTGTACATCATTCCTTCCATATGTGCCCGCATGCCAGAAGTGGGTGCCAGGTCTACATTATAGATGGCTGTGAGCCACCATGTGGTTGCTGGAAATTGAACTCAGGGACTCTTGAAGAGCAGTCAGTGCTCTTAACCACTAAGCCATCTCTCCAGCCCCTTAATGTTTATTTTAATGTGTATAAATATTTCAATTGCCTTTATGTCTGTGGACCACATGCATACCTGGTGCCCACAAAAGCCAGACAGGGCATTGGACCCCCTAAAACTGGAGTTAGATAATTAAGAACTGCCATGTGGCTGCTGGAAACAGAACTTGAGTTCTCTGGAAGAGCAGCTGGTGCCCTTAACTGCTTGAGCCATCTCTTCAGCAGTAGCCTACTCATCTTTGTTACTCTCTCTGATGCTGGAATTAAAAATGTGTTGCATTATGCCTGCTCTACTTTGCTCTCTGTTTTTTTTTTTTTTTTTTTTTTTAGAAAGACAGTGTTGGGAATTGAACTTGGCCTTTAAACATACTGGGCAACACTTCATTGCTGAAGTGTTTTTACTCTGTCCTGTGGCCTTGTTTCTAGGCTCTGAGCATGGAAGCATAGTTATTTGGGTATCGTGCAGGGTTGAATATGCCTGGGTGCTCTTAGAAGTTGGTTTCATTGTACCACCCTGTGGGACCACTGTACACATTCTAGTAAGGGGTTGATTGTGATTAGAATCTGAGTTTTTGCCTGTGGTGGTGGCGGCACATACCTTTAATTTCAACACATAGGAGGCAGAGAGACAGATAGGTCTTCATGTTTGAGGCCAGTCTGATTTACATAGTGAGTTCCATCCAGGACAGCCAGGGCTGCATAAAGAAACACTCATGAAAACCACCCTCAAAAACAAAAACAAAACAAAAGGAATTTGGGTTTTAGACTCATCTTTTTCTGTCATGTAAATTTGTCCTTTTGTAACCAATGTACACGTGAAACACTTTGAAAAGGAGAGAAAGGGACAGCAAAACAGACTTACTTTTTAAAGAACATGCCTGTTAGAAGACACTCCATCTGGGTTGTTTGTTTTGCTGTATAACCATTTCGTTTTTAGATTTTTAGACATTTGAGTCCATGACCATTGGACTAAGAATCTGCTTAATATAGAGGCATTTTAGTTGATAAAGGTGTGGCTCTGCATGACTCCTATGAGTGAATCTTTGATTTTCCCTATATATACAATGCTGAGTATACAGTAGGGGAACACTACTTGAGTGGGCTTAGGGGTACCTCAGGATTCTGTATTGGGGGCTGTTATTCTGGGTAAGGACAGGTGACTCAGCTCTTCATCTTTCCAGAAGTACAGTTTGCAACTGTGGTAGAAACATAGGTCACACCCTTTCTCCTTTTCTTTCCCTCCTTCTCTCCCTCCCTCCTTCTCTCCCTCCCTCCTTTCCTCCCTTCCTCCCTCCTTCCCTCCCTCTCTCCCTCTCTCCCTCCCTCCCTTCCTCCCTCCTTCCTTCCTTCCTGTTTTGGGGTAGAGCTTCATGGTGTATGTATCCTTGACTGCCCTGGAATTTGCTTTGTAGACCTGGCTAGCCTGCCTCCTGAGTGCTGGGATTAAAGGTGTTGGCTACCACTGCCTGGCTGTCTCTTACCACTTTTTCTTTTGCATACTAATCCCAGTTTCTCCCTCCCTTCCTTCCCCCCTCCCCCTCCTCCATCTGCTTCTTAGAGAGGGTAAGGCCTCTTACCATTTTTATGTGAGTTCTAGGATTCAGATTCAGTCTTTTTTTTTAAGATGTATTTATTATGTATACAGTGTTCTATCTGCACGTATGACTACACACCAGAAGAGAGCACCGTGTCCCATATCATTATAGATGGTTGTGAGCTACTGTTTGGTTGCTGGGAATTGTACTCAGGACCTCTGGAAGAGTAGCCAGTGCTCTTAATCTCTGAGCTATCTCTCCAGCCCCAGATTCAGTCTTAATACAAACTTGCTTTCCCAGCAAAGTCTTTATTATCCACTGAACCACCTTCACACTGCACTTCTCCTCTACATGTGTGTGGCCTCTCTTTATTCTAGACTATAGCCCCAAACTGGCCTCTAACTCATAATAATCTTCCTGCCTCAGCCTCCTGCTGTATGCCTGTGAAGGCTAGAGGACAGGTTGCTTTTTCGTAGGTGCTGCCCATTTGTCAATTTTTCTTGTTTTTATTTTAATTTTTTTTACATTTATTTGCTTGTATGTGTATATACACACACTTATGGAAATGGGTTCTTTTTTTTCCATCATGCAGGTTCCAAAGGAGTGAATTCAGATTAATTAGGTTTGGTCTCTAGTATGTTTATCCACTGAACTATCTTGCCAGTCCCTCACCTTGTTATTTGAGACAGTGTCTCTCAGTGGCCCAGGATGTGTCAAGTAGATAAGACTGGCTGATGGAGAAGCCCAAGAAAGCTACCTATTCCACCTCCCCAATGCTGGAATTTTAAAAGCTCACTGCCACATGTAGATTTTGGAGGGATTAAACTCAGGTCCTTATGTTTGCATGACTAACACTTAACTAAGTAATTCCCTTGGTCCATTTTCTTGGTAATTTTACAGAGAGTTGGAGATCTTTCTACAAATTTTGGAAATAAGTAAATGAGACAACAATTTGGTTTTAAGATGACTATAATTGTGTTAATTATGATGATAAATTTTTAAGCAGATATCAGCTCATGCTGTCCCTATAGGTGCCATAGTAGAAAGAGGAATTGCATTTTAATTTTTTTATTTATTTTTTATGAGGCCAGGTTTCATATGTAACCCTGGAACTCCCAGAGATGTGCCTATCTCTTCCTCCTGAGTGATGGGATTAAGGGCATGTGTCCACCTGATATACAAAGGGAATATTTTAAGTCCACAAGGACTACATAGTATGATTCTGTCTCAAAACAAAAGAACAAAACAAAGAAATAAACGTAAGCTTGTGTTCCTATTACTTATATAGGTGCCAAGACTATGCAGTGTTGGCAAAATGTGCTGTACACACCTCTCATTAGCACTTTGGAGGCTAAGGCAAGAAGATTGTGAGTTCAAGGTCAGCCCAGAGTACATGGCAAGTTTTGGGCCACCCTGGTCCGTGGGACTTTATCTGGAGAAACTGGTCTGCGGGTGTAATTCAGAAGAGTTCCTTTCTAGGATATTTGTAGTTTTAGGTTTAATCTCAAGCACTCCTCTTCTCAAATAAAAGACTTAACGATGACAAAAAAAACTATGCAGTGTTGATTATAGCTGTTTGCTTTCTTCGAACTAGGCAATGGATCACTTAGAGTCCTTCATTGCAGAGTGTGATCGGAGAACTGAGCTTGCCAAGAAGAGACTGGCAGAAACACAGGAGGAGATCAGTGCAGAAGTTTCTGCAAAGGTATATTAAGTGACTGGTATAACTCACTTTTTGTCTCACCCTCACACTAGTTGGGAATTCTATGGAGATGGTCTGTAGCCATGGCATTTGGAGCCTGCATTCCTTTCTTTGACCTCACAGAGATTTGCCTGCCACTTGAATGCTGAGATTAAAGGCATGCATCACAGCTGCTAATTAAAAGAAGATGTGAGCCAGTACTAATTTACTATGCATATTACTTCTTAACCTAGAAATGGATATGAAAATGCCTTCAGTTTATCCCAGCTGCTGGTGAAGATGCATGAACAGGTTCAATCAGCTGTACATTTGGAAAAATAAAGCTATTAAATCAAAAAAAAAGAAGAATAAGAAGATGTGGCGGTGTGGCGCATGCCCTTATTGCCAGCACTCAGGAGGCAGAGGCAGGTCTTTATGAGTTTGAAGCCAGCCTGGTCTACAGAGTGAGTTTCAGGACAGCCAAGGCTACACAGAGAAACCCTGGCTTGAAAAAAACCTTAAAAGGCTAGTGTGCTGGCAAATCCTAGTAATTAGATATTTTGCTTGCAGCCTACGTTTGTATGTTAAACCTTGAATTTTACTACTCTTTCCCAGAGGAAGTAAAGAGACACAGAAAATGACCAACATGATTGGGGGAGGAGGCCTTTTGTTTTGTTTTGTTTTGAGGCAATGTTTCTCTGTGTAGCTTTGGAGCCTGTCCTGTCCTGGAATTAGCTCTGTAGATAGACCAGGCTAGCCTCAAACTCATGGAGATCCACCTGCCTCTGCCTTCTGATTGCTGTGATTAAAGGTGTGTGCCACCAGGGCTCAACTAACATGTCAGTTCTAAAGTGAACAGCATGTGCTCCATTGCAAAAACAAAAACAGCATGCAGTGGAGCGAATGGGTTTTCTTAGAGTCTGGTGTAATGATAGTAAGGATGTCATAGTTTTGTTTTGAAGTGGTCTTTTGTGGTTTAGGCTGACCTTGAACTGACTGACTATAGGTGATCTTGAACTGACATCCCCACTCCCAAACTTCCATCCAAAAGTTGGAAGTGGCTACCAGTTACATTGCCACTGAGTTTTTAGTCTCTAAGTGTGTTACTGAGTCTGGACCTTAAGGTAGTCTTTTATTTTCAGAGGAATAGGCCAGGCATACAGCAAGAAGAAGAGAAATACTTGTTTTCTTTGTAACTCAAGGTATTGATGTTTGGTGTTTTTATCTGATTTTCTGTCCTTAGGCAGAAAAAGTACATGAGTTGAATGAAGAAATAGGAAAACTCCTTGCTAAAGCAGAGCAGCTAGGAGCTGAAGGAAATGTGGATGAATCTCAGAAGATCCTTATGGAAGTGGAGAAAGTTCGTGCAAAGAAAAAAGAAGCAGAGGTTGGTTGTTGGTTAGTTTTGAGACATGGAACCTTGGTTATCCTGGAACTTGGTATGCAGACTATCCTTGAACTTAAAAAGATTTTCTTGCTTCTCCTTCCCAGGTGCTGGAATTAAAGGCATGCATCACCATGCTTGGCACTCAGCTTTTGCTCTTGCTCTCTCAACATTTATTTATTTATTTGTGTGTGTGTGTGTGTGTGTGTGTGTGTGTGTGTGTGTGTGTGCGCGCGCCAGTGTTTTACTTACATATGTGTACGCTTTGTACTTGCATTCATGTCTGGTACCCATGGAGACCAAAAGAGGGGGATTGATTCCTCTGAAACTGGATTACCCATATTTGTTAACTGCCGTGTGTGAGTGCTGGGACCCAAACCCAGGTTCTCTAGAACAGCAGCAATCCTCCCCTCCCAAAATAAGGTTTCTCTGGGTAACACACCTGGCTGTCTTGGAACTCACTTTGTAGACCAGGCTGGCCTCGAACTCACAAAGATCCACCTGACTCTGAGTGCTGGGATTAAAGGCGCCCAGCTTTTTTTGTTTGTTTTTTGCTTTTTGGGTTTTTGAGACAGGGTTTCTCCGTGTGGCCCTGGCTGTTCTGGAACTAGCTATGTAGACCAGGCTGATCTTGAACTCACAGGGAGCCTCCTGCTTCTGCCTCTGCCTCTGCCTCCTGAGTGCTGGTATTAAAGGTGTGTGACACCACCACCAGCTTTTGTTTTGTTTTTTAAACATGCTCTCTTATTTTATAGTCCTGGCTGACCCTGAACTCATTGTGTAACCAAGACTGGTCTGTAATTTAAAGTAGTCCCTCTACCTGAGCCTCCCAGTTATAATATGTATAATGATTCAGGCATGGAAAATACATATATAATCTCAGTTCTTCACACCTGGAGAGTAGAGCCAGGATATGGGATATGGATAACACACAGAACACAGACAAGAGGATGAGGAATTCAAAACCGGTCTTGACTACATAGTGAGTTTGAGGCCAATCTGGGCTTCAACAAGAAATGTGATGATAGGGAAGTAAGTGATGGTAATTTGGTAATGTTGAACATTTACACTGTTAAACCATGTCTACGTTCTTTTTATTCTACATAATAATCTGTGTAACTGACTAGTAAAAAGTTCACAGGTAGGGACAGAAATTTCCAAATTATCCTCTACAGCTCTCCCATTATCAGAAGTCCCCCACCAGAGTGGTATGGTTATTGCCATCAGTGTACTAAAATTTAGACATTGTCACTCCAAAGCTCATAGTTTACTTTTAGTATATGTGTGTGTGTATACTGTTCCATGGAGGATAGAAGACGATGTCAGATCCCCTAGAACTGGAATTGCAGACAGTTGTGAGGTGTTGGGTTGGTGCTAGGAATCAAATCTGGATCCTCTGGAAGAGCAACAAGTGCTTTTGACTTCTGAACGATCTTTCTAGGCTCTCCTCCCATTGATACTGATGAAGATAGATTCATAAGAGAGATGAAATCTGAGAGAGCTGACTTTGGGATGGTCTATAGGTAGGTTGGGGATAGCCTACAAAGCTATAGCTTAGACCTTTAATAAAAGCAGAAAGTCCAGGGGTGGCAAGGAGATGAGAAAATGGTGTATTTGTGCATGGCTGGTGCCTGCTTAACTTTTAGGTATTATTGTGCCTCTGGTTCATATAGCTGACCTGTATAGTGTGAGGGTTTTGTTGGGTGTTAGAGCAATGCTTATTGAACCGAGCAACGGGGAGAGAAGGTTGAGACCATCAGGATTATGCTTTTTTGTGGTTCTCCAAAAGTTTGCAAATTAAAGTTTGCAGCAAAGGTTGGATAGGCAGAACAGGCTAGTTCCGATCTAATGCCTCATACTCCCAGTGAACACTTACCCCACCTCTATTTGGTGGTGACATTATTGTGTTGGGTCTAAGCTTATGTAATTGCTTAGCTTAAAAGACAAAAGAGATTCATAACACAGCTGAGATGTCTAGGTAGAATTACCCTACAAGACTGAAACCAGTGCTTGGACTGTACCTTCTACATTAGCTCCGAGAGTGTGTAGTTGGAGGTACCTTCTGATGACAAGTACTCCCTAGGCTAGAGAGGACGCACTCTGCATATTGTTTTTGTTGTTGTTTTGTATTGCCTGCATGTATATCTGTGTGAGGGTGTTGTTGGGTCCCCTGAAACCGGAGTTCCAGACAGTTGTGAGCTGTCATATGGGTGCTGGGAATTGAACCTGGATCCTCTGGAAGAGCAGCCAGTGCTCTTAACCACTGAGTCATATTTCCAGCCCTAAAGGGGGTCTATAGTCCATGGTCTCTTAGGACAAGTTGGGGAATGACATCAGTTGATGAGTTCTGTGAAAGATTATGGTGTGGAAGTGTAAGCCAAATAAAAATAAACTTGTTTCTTATTATTTCTTATTATTATTAGCAATAATAACCCTAACTAAAGTTAGTGATAGTAACTAAGAGAAGATTTTACTCAGTTTATTGCTACAGGCTTCATTTTTTTAATCTACATAGAACATATATTAGTAGTTTCCTAAGTTCTTTCTGAGTTTTCACATTAAATCCTTCTATAGTGGTGGCTTTGCTTTTTGTTTTTTATTTTAATTTTTTGAGACAGGCTCTATGTAACAAGCTTTCCTGGAACTCAGAAAACCGCCTGCTACTAATTGTTAATTCTTTTAAAATAAACAATGAAATTGAAGTTCTTAGTATACCTAAAGCTGAGCAATCTAGTTTTCAACATGTGGTAAAATGTTGCCTATATTTCAGGGTGTTTTTTTTTTTTTGTTTTTGTTTTTTTGTGTTTTTTTTTGCCTACTACTCTACGCGGATCTACGAATTTCAGGTTTTTCCATTCTGGGGTCTACATGGTGACAGTTTTGAAATGCCTCCGCGTCATCTTTTATATTTTATTTATTTGTTTGTCTGTCTGTCTTATCTATCTAACCATAGGAAGAATATAGAAATTCTATGCCTGCATCCAGTTTTCAGCAGCAAAAGCTTCGTGTCTGTGAGGTTTGTTCAGCTTATCTTGGTCTCCATGACAATGACCGTCGTCTAGCAGACCACTTCGGGGGCAAGTTACACTTGGGGTTCATTCAGATCCGAGAGAAGCTTGATCAGTTGAGGGTATGTTGATTACATTCTTTCTGGAAAACCCTTTGGAATCTTGTGGGGTTTTTTTGTTTGTTTGTTTGAGGGGGGGGAGACAGGATTGCTCTGTAACGGCTCTGACTGTCCTCCAATGCAAATGTAACTGCTTCCATTAATTCATATATTTAAAGCATTCCATAGGAAATGCAAGTTTAAATACACTCTCACATACTGCTGGTTATGATAACCCTAACATGTTCTGATGTTAAAATGGGGCATTTAGCTGGGTATGGTGACCTACTCCTTTAATCACAGTACTTAGAAGGTAGAGGAAGAGATAGACCTTCCTCTTTGATACAAAGAGGTAGATCTTTGTAAGAACAAAGCCAGCCTGGTCTACATTGTGAGTTCCAAGCCAGCAAGAACTACAAAGTGAGGCCCTGTATAGAAATAAAGAAGCAACCAACCAAACAATAAAACCCCAGTCAAATAGAAAGATCATTTATGTATGCATCATTAACCAGGAATTCTTTGTTGGATTTAAACATGTTTCTGGAGTTTTTGTTTCTTTGGGTTTTGTTTGTTTATTTTAGGCAGGGTTCCTCTGTGTAGCCTTTGCTGTCCTGGAACTTGGTCTGTAGATTAAACTGGCCTTGAACTCACATAGATCTGCTGGAATTAAAAGTGTCTGCCACCACTGCCTAGCGGAAGATCGGAATTTTAAGATTATCTTCAGCTAACTGGGCAGTTTAAGATCCATCTGTTGAAACATTGCCTTAACAAAAACATTTGTTTCAGTCTTTCCCAGTAGCATTTTAATTTTAATTTTACTTTACATCTTTGCCAGTATGAGTTTGATATGCTGGTCATGTGAGGTGAATTGTAGGTGTGGGGAAGGAAGTGATGCCACATCTAGGGGTCTATTCTCAGCCATACCTGCTTTAGGAAGGTGTGAAAAGGAACTTTGAGCTGATATCCTGTACGCCTAGCTCAGATGAAGGATGACCCGAGTTGGAGGTGTAGAAGTGTAGTGATGGACAGGACAGTTTGCCTGGGCCTTGCTGTGTCCTCTCATCTAGAGGATATTTGCTTTTCTCACTGGGCATAGAGATTTTCTGTGCTATCCCTGGCTCTAAGCAGGGAAGACTGGTGGATTTTCGTGTCAGGGGGTATGACTTACTCCCCCTTTCAGGACTGTTTTCATCCACTTACATTTACAGCCCAGATGGTGTATTACAGGATTTGTTAGTGTTGGTGATAGGTTATAAGGGTTCTTAGCCCTTTTCAGCTGGCTTGAGTTGATGCTGATTTGATGGTAAAGTATATCAGAGCCTTCTGGCTTCTGTTACATTTAGGATCGAGCCTGATGAATTGAATATGCAATTGTGCTGATGCACTTACCACATCAGAAGTGAGTTGCTTCTGGCTACCTAGAGTTCCACTCCCAGAAGCAGGGTATATGTGGTCTGACTCATGTTTCTTTTTTTACTACAATGCTTGTAGAGAGGCTGTAGGATAAACAACTAACTTGATGGTTTGGTTTGAAGCATTGTGATCAATTCCCTGTGACTTATTAAAAGTTCAGCCCCCTCCTCTCCTTTGTAATTTGTCACCAAATGTATAAAATGATTTAATTTTTTTTCATTTGTTCTGCTAGGGTTTTTTGGTTTTTTTTTTGAGACAGAGTGTCTCTGTAACAGCCCTAGCTATCCAGAAACTAGCTCTTGTAGACCAGGCTAACCTAGAACTCACAGAGATTCACCTGCCTCTGTCTCCTGAGTGCTGAGATTAAGTGTGTGTGCCACCACTGCCCGGCTTCTGTTAGTTTTAAAAATAAATATATTGTTTCTTAAAGTTGTTGCTTTTCCCTTTTTTCCCCTATTTTTCATTTATTTAGAAAACTGTGGCTGAAAAGCAGGAAAAGAGAAATCAGGATCGCTTGAGGAGAAGGGAGGAGAGAGAGCGAGAGGAGCGGCTGAGCAGGAGGTAAGTGTGGACCAGCCTTAGGAAACTGCTGTTTGCCATGTTGTGACCTGGAATAGTCAGTGTTTACCATACAAAGAATTGGCAGTTACTTACTTTTGTGTGGTTTTTTTGTTGTTGTTTATTTAGAGATAGGGTATCTTAGTGTTTCTATTGCTGTGAAGAGATACCGTGACCACATTAACTCTTACAAAGGAAAATATTTGATTGTGGTGGCTCACTTGCACTTTAGAGGTTTAATCAGTTTGTCATTGTGGTGGGAAGTAAGGCAGCATGCAGGCAGACAGGGTTTTGGCAGAGGAGTTGAGGGTTCTTCTGTCTTGACCCACATGCAATAAAAAGTCTGAGACTCTGGGCAGTGTGTTGAGCATAGGAGACCTCAAAGCCACCACCCCTGGTCCCCTCCTACACACACAGTGACATACTTCTTCCAACAAGGCCATACTTCTTCTTAATAGTGCCACTCCCTTTGGGGATACCACATAGGGTCTTACCATGTAATCCAGGCTGACCTAGAATTTTCAGAGATGTGCCTGCGTCTGCCTTCTAATAACTGAGATTAGGGTGTATGCCATTAACCTGGCTCTGGGGTGTCCTTTAAAAGAAAAATTATTAAATCTATAACATATTCAGTCTAGTGAGGTATGACATTGTTTTAAATAAGGGAGGGAGAAACTATTGAGAGTTACTCCCCACCCCAAGATAGAGTTTTTGTGTTGACTTGGCTGTCCTGGAACTACCTCTGTAGACCAGGCTGTCCTCAAACTCACAGAGATCCACTTGCTTCTGCCTTCTGGGTACTAGGATTAAAGGTGTGAGTCACCCACCATTGCCCAACCATCCTTGGACCCCACAGAGCCAGCTCTGACAGCTGGGCATAGAACCTTCAGCAAATAGGGAAGGCAAAAATGGATCTACTGCTAAGCTGTAGTCTCATGGCAGTGCATTGCTGTGGGAAAATCGCCAGCTTTGAACTGAAGGGATGGAGGCTTTGTGTGCCCCCCCCCTTAATTTTTTGATTTGGTCACATGGGGCCACAGGACAGACTTTCCTATAAGACGTATAGTTGGAATATGTTCCCGCTTGAGAATCAGGGTATTAAGGTGTTGAGCAAAAGCCTCCCCCTGCTCCGTGAGGTTCTGAGTTTCAAGGCTGGAAGAGTGTGGGTGGTGTGATCTGGGCTAAGGTGTTTCTTGTAGAACTGACTGGACTTGGGGTCATGTGGGGAGAAGGAATGCAGCTGGTCTCATGGTCTCTTTTCTTTTTGTTTTGCCCCTCCCCCTTTTGTTTCCTGTATATCCCTGGCTGTCATAAAACTTATTCTTTAGACTCAGGCATCTGCCTGTCTCTCCCTCTCTGTGCTGAGATCAAAGGTGTGCACCCAGTATCATGCTCAATTGACCTCTTGGTTTCTAATCTGTAATTGTCCCTTACCTTGGACAGGGAGGATGGAATGAGGAATAGGGGTAGAATTTGGCTATATTTGGATTGAGGTACCTGACGTCTCAGGTACTCAGATAGATGTGTTGGATCTAATTTGAGTTGAGAGAAGATATCAGAGCCAGCAGTAACTATGTTTCTTGAAGGACACTTTTTTTTGTTTTGATAGGATCTTACTATGTTGCTTTGACTGGCCTACACAAAGCCTGAGTGGCTTTGTGTAGACCTGGGTGGTGGGATTAATGATGTTTTTTATTTTCCGGTTTAGGTCTGGATCAAGAACTCGCGATCGCAGAAGGTAGGTTTTCAGATCTATCACAGGATTCTCAAGTTGAATACCTTTTTATGCAGAAACATTTAATAACTAATGTTTAGAGCTTCACAACTTAGGTAGGCAAGACTGGTTTGTGAAGAACATTGCTTAGGGTTTAGCACAATAGAAACTCACATCCCACCACCACCACCACCACCACCACGAGGGAAGAGGGGCCTGGAGCTTCTGCTAAGGCCCAAGGACCAAGGAGTGTCCTGTGTTTTGGTTTTTTGAGACATGTTTTCTCTGTGTGTTCCTGACTTTGTTGACTAGTCTGGCCTCAATTTTAGAGACCTGTGTACTTGTCTTTGTCTCCCAAGTGCTGGAATAGGCATGCACCACCATGTCTGGCCAAGTACTGTACTCTTTAGAGATGTTATTTAGGGGAAAGGTTTTGCCATCAGACTAATTCAGGGTACTCTTTAGTCCAAAATTGTACATTTATGGGAAGAAAGAGAAATCCCAGGAAAGCTTAAAAGCCAAAAGATGCTAAGAGGAGAGAAATGGAGGTAGATCTTTGAAGAGTTGACCCCAGTGATGTCTGGCTCTCAAAATCATCTGGATTTTCCAGGTCACGATCTCGGGATCGGCGACGGAGGCGATCTAGATCTACCTCCCGAGAGCGACGAAAGTTTTCCCGTTCCAGGTCCCGAGATAGACACCGGCGCCATCGCAGTCGTTCCCGGAGCCACAGCCGGGGTCACCGCCGGACTTCCAGGGACCGGAGTACAAAATACAAGTAACTACTCTGACTTCCTCAGTAGCTGCAGCCAGGAACAAGCCTTTTCTCTTTGTGTTCCCAAGTCTGCTGGGGTCTGTCATGCTGGCCTTTTGGCCACTACGTCTGGTAGGGACAAGGTTGGGGTTATGAGAAGGCAGGCTCTGGGTGACTAGCACCCTGTGTTGGTACCCAGAGGGATAGATAGCGTCACCTAGTGCTTGGAATAGTGTAAGGCTATTGAACTCTCATGGCCCTCTGGGTAGCACTGCACTTGGCTGGGCTTTTTGTACTTTAACTTGGTAAAGAGCAGCTAAGGTTTTTGTCTTAAAAAGGTTCTGCTTACTTACCTCTCTTGTAATTTTGTTTTGTTTTGAGACCGGCCCTCACTTTGTAACCTAGATTGGCTTGAACTCAAGATCCTCCTGCTTCAGCCTCCCAAGTGCTGAAATGAAATGTGTATACCACCATGCTTGACTTACGTGGTTTTCCATTCTACTCTTTTCCATTGTCTTTACATACTGCGTCATATTCCACATGCATAACTTTATTGTATTCCCATTTGCTTTGTTTCTGTTACACCGAAAACTTTCCTTATTAAAGTCTTTCCTTTTATTTATTTTTAAAGATTTATTTTTATTATGTGTATGTTAGTGTGTTATGTCATAAATGTTAGTGTAAGTGTATATTGTGTGTGTTTATGTGAGTGTGCCTGCGTGTGTGTTCTTACTGTGGAGGACAAAACTTGTCTTGAATCCTCTAGACCTGGAGTTACTGGTGATTCTGATGCCCGACAGATGGATTCTCCACAAGAGCATCATATCCTGACCTGTTGCTCCACCCCCTTAAACTTTTCAAATGTTACTTTTTATCAGTTACTTTTAAGACCAAATCTCACTCTCTAGCACAGGCTGGTCTCGGCTTAAATCACTGCTGTCTTATGTTCTTAAGTGTGAGGATTACAGGTATAAGCCACTATCCCCAACTCAAAGGGTTACCTTAATTTTTTTTTTATTTTATTTTTTTAAATTATTATCTGTAACAGATAACAGATGGAGTCAGGCTTGGTTGTCTGTCTTCTGGTATGTTAAGAGACACCTGAGCACTTGAGGCCAGGCAGCAGTGGAAGCAAGGGCAGGTGGATCTCTTGAGTTTAAGGCCTGGTCTATAGAATGAATTCCAGGACAGCCGCGGCTACACAGAGAAACCCTGTCTTGAGACATCCCCGCCCTCCAGTCCCCATAAAAAGGCGCCTGAGCATGGAAGGGAAATGGTCTTCCGTAGTCTAGGACTGAGGGTCTACCTTAATGGTTCCTGTGCAGCCAGCCAGAAGGAGATGGCATCCTCTGCTGAGCCTCTGGTTCCACTTTCCCAGGTTCTCCAGGGAGCGCTCATTGAGAGAGGAATCCTGGGAGTACGGGCGGAGTGAGCGAGGGCCCACTGACTGGAGGTTGGAGAGCTCCAATGGCAAGACTGCATCGCGGAGGTCGGAGGAGAAGGAGGCTGGCGAGATCTGAACCTGGCTCTGGCACTGTAAATAGTCTGACAAACGTTCAGCACAGCCTAAATTACCCTTTATATTTACTGGATACAACTCATCTTTTGTAGTTAAAATTTCTA